AAGGTGCTGTAAAATATTATAAATAGTTGAAATATAGCTTTCTCTCCTCACCTCCAGAGAAACTTTCATTGATTCTGGTTTTATAAACCTCTTTATGGTATCAGAGCCTTTCGGTGAGGAGAACCAAAATACCATACAACATGTCCGGCCACACTGAATGTAGCCAATTTTGTTTCTCTCCAACTCACCTCAGACAGTTACCTACTCTGGAGAACCCAAATGATGGCTTTAATTGAAAGCCAGGAACTATTGGGTTTTATTGATGGTGAGTATGAAATGCCTGATCCAAAGGTACTTTCAAATGAGAAGGAAGTACCAAATCCAACTTATGCAGCTTGGAGACGGTCTGATCGTCTTCTTCGTGGGTGGATCACTGGTACCTTATCAAAAGAGGTACTTGGAATTGCTGTTGGACTCGAGACTTCATCGGAAGTTTGGAAGGCATTGGAGGATCACTTTGTTCAAAGCTCTCAAGAAAGAGAATTTCACTTAATGCAGGAGATCTCAAGTATCCAAAAGGGTGATGACACTCTAAGTGAGTACATCAGAAGATTCAAAGCTCTTTGTGATGAACTCTCCACAAATGGTAAGATCATACCAGATAAAAACAAAGTTTTTTGGTTTTTGCAAGGGTTAGGACCAAGCTATGAAAATTTTGTCACAACCATGCTTAAACCACCTGTTCCATCATACAAAGAATTGATCCCTCTTGTAAAAAGCCATGATTCCCGTAACCGCCATCATAATTCTTTACCTCCTCAGATGGCCTTCTTTACTCAAAAGCCTGAACTAAGAAATTATCACAAAAAGAAAGGAAATGGTCAGAGTTGGTTCAACTCTAGAGGGAAAGGTTTTATTCAAGCTAGAACTGACAATAAGCCAAGAGCTAGTTTTAAGCTGAATGCAGGAAATTTGGAAAGCAGTGAAGCTAAAGCTCCTGCAAGTAAAGCTGCTGTGGTTTGTCAAATCTGCAATAAGCATGGCCATGTTGCTCTCAAGTGTTTCAATCGCTTCAACCATGCATTTCAAGCCGATGACATCCCTCAAGCCTTGGTTGCAATGACTATCAATAAAAGTGATGTTGCTGAGTGGTATCCAGATACTGGGGCAGAAGCTCACATGACTAGCAACTCTGGTAAGCTTATAAATTTAAAACCTTATAAAGGGAATGATGGTGTAATGGTAGGGAATGGTGAGACATTAAATATAACACATATTGGTGATTCTCATATAAATTGTGGTGAACATACTATTACTCTTAAAAATGTGCTTCTAGTTCCTCATATAAAAAAGGATTTACTCTCTGTTAGCCAACTCACTCATGATCTACCATGTATTTTTGAATTTGATGCTGGTGGATTCGTTATCAGGGACAGATTCTCAGAAAGAATAGTAGCCAAAGGCGCAAGGAGAGGAGGACTATATGCACTAAATGGTGGATATACAGCACTCTTCTCAACTCGTTTTAGGAGGACCAATAAAGAGGGATGGCACCAAAGATTGGGGCACCCTCAATATCGTATTGTTGATTTCCTTTTTCAAAATAAATTTATTGACTTTGATTCTATTGGTGATTCAAATGAAATATGTGATAGCTGTCAAATGGGCAAAACGTGTAGACTTCCTTTTCTTAAATCAAATGACATATATGATGAACCTTTTCAAAAAATTAGCTGTGATCTTTGGGGACCAGCACCTTTCAAGTCTAGTGAAGGTTTTTGTTACTATGTTATCTTTGTCGATAGCTATACACGATTCTCTTGGTTTTATCCTATGAAGAAAAAATCTGATTTTTTTGAATGTTTCAATCATTTCTATAAATATATTAATTGTCAATTTGGTAAAAGAATACAAATCCTCCAGACGGATGAAGGAGGAGAATTTTCTAGTACCAGCCTTTCACAATTACTAGCTAATTTAGGAATTCGTCATCAATCTGCTTGTCCTAAGACACCAGAACAAAATAGCTTAGCTGAACGCAAACATAGGAATATAACAGAATTAGGCCTAACCATGATGTTTCATGCTAAGTTGCCAGCAAAATTTTGGGTTGACTCCTTTTCTACTGCTGTTTTTTTAATAAATAGGTTGCCATCTCCAAGTCTCAACATGGACTCCCCATTCCTTAAGCTATATGGGAAGCATCCAGACTACTCTTCATTGCGTGTCCTAGGATGCAAATGTTTCCCATATCTTGGAGACTATAGAAGAACTAAATTTGATCCAAAATCAATTCCTTGTGTTTTTATGGGATATAGTATAAAGCACAAAGGGTACAAGTGCTTCTCACCATCAACTGGGAGGATATATGTTTCAAGACATGTAGTTTTTGATGAAATGTGTTTCCCTTTTGCAGATCCAAACGCTTTATATGGCAAGGAACTGGTTGGAGGAGAAATTACAAATTTTAATGAGTGGTTTGACTCTACAGACACTGACATGACTCTTACTTCCCTTGCAGAAAATACAAATTCTATGGAAATTTCAAGATCTAATGCTCGCATGAGTTCTGCAACAGAACAAAGTGTCATCACTCTTGATTCTTCTTCGACCATTGCCAATGTCGATCAGCAACCATTAGAGCAAGCCCATGTAGCACCGTGTACTGCTGATGCTATACAACAAGGAACTAATGAAACAAGCCATGGGTCCCTAGCTCAAGATACAAGCCCAGTAGGACAAAATCAA